CATGGAGTAATAAAATGCCAGGTAAAGACACAGTTCATTGATACATTATTGGTGGAATTGAATGTGAGCAATCACGATGATCAATTGAAGGCTTGAAGATAACAAAAAAGAAGCATGGAGTAATAAAATGCCGGGTAAAGACACAGTTCATTAGAACGTATTCGCATAACCCACTTTTTAAATGCTAATGAGTTTGCTAATATTCTAATGAGATTGGCACAAGAAACAAAAGAGCAAAAACATGCTTGAGTGATTTCAGTAGCGAATATTATTTCAAAACTATTTTGAGCTCAGTTCAATAAATGCAAAATTTCAAAAGGAAACATTTCTATTTAAGCTATACAGCTATTTCAACTTCTCGTAAACTACATGCAAGTAATTAGATTAGACGCGGCTGAAAGAATTGAAGAATTGGTTTTGATTCTAGTATCGACGGGTTDTSGAAGTCTGCAATGCTTGTTTTAYAATTCTTCCCATGCGCTCAATTTATTTAACACAATTTAAATCAACATTATGAACCGCTTAAAACAAACGATCTGTTGGCATTCACAAAATAAGGAATTTTCAATCTTGTAGCCAATAACTGTTGAAATTGGTTAACTTTAATAATAAAAATGTGTCCGTTTGAAATTGTGTATTTATTGAACTGAGCTCAAAATAGTAATATTTTGAAAGCACTCAAGCATGTTTTAGTGCTCTTTTGTTTCTTGTGCCAATCTCATTAGAATATTAGCAAAACTCATTAGCATTTAAAAAGTGGCTTATGCGAATACGTTCTACTAAATTAAAATAGTGAAATTTAGTAAAATTTAGTGAAAAATAGTCGAAGCGTATAAATATACTAAATTTAGTGTGCACGTGCAGTTTAGATGAGATGAAGTGCACGTGCGTTTATGCACACGTCGTCCTCGGAGCTCGACTAGCCAGCTACACTTATAACCGTTACAAATGCTGCTGGAATTAGAACCAAAGTCTCATGCTAAAAAGGTACGTATCTCACAAACTTTTTCGTAGAAGCGATAGACTCCTTTTGCGGTTTATTTTGAGCATCAAGCAAAGATATTAAAAGGGCGATGTTGGTTCTTGTCAAGTACGTCAAATAACGCTGAGCTTTGAGCGATAGAATTCGTTCGAAAACAGGTTGTTTACAGATATTTTTCGAGTCTTTACATTAAAAGTGCGTCTTGTCTTGATTTTTAGCTTAGACTTTAACAATAAACTCGTTAGAAAACACGTTCATTTGTGTTCTGGGTCTTGATATTGGTTGTTTTTACTAACTTTAACCTAACGTTAAAGTCGTCTGTCTTCTGTCTTGATTTTGCTGCGACGCTGAGAATAAAGACTCTTAAACGCGTTTTCTTGCGTATTGTGTGGTTATTTTAGCTTTAGATGTGTCTTGTGTCTTGATTTTGCAGCAGCGCAAATAAATAAACATTCTTAAACGCGTTTTCTTGTGTATTGTAGTTATTTCTTTTTTAGATTAAATTGTGTCTTTTGTCGTTTTTGCGGCATCAGCACAAAGGAATTTAAAGGCTCCTGGTAGAGGCTCTGAAATCGTTTTACTTGCGTTTGTTTGTTATTTTAGCTTTGTTTTTAGATTTTAGCTTTGATTTTGTAGCAACGCTACTCTCATGAAAAAAGCACGACCCAAGCACTCTGCAACACGCTTCTACGGCCCAGTAACCACACTAAATTAATCATAGTTTGCAATAATTTAGTTAAATTTAGCAAAATTTAGTAAAAAATAGTCTTTTGTAAGTATTGCACGGATATATTGCTTGCACTCTACCTGTGGCACAGGTGACAACT